CCTGCTTCGCCATTTTCCATGACATCACCGCTGTTCACCCAGCTACTACTGAGTAGTGTCCCCAGTATGGACGTACTGCCTTCGGTCTAACCATTCATCTGATGAAGGACATTTGATTTTGTTCCAACTTGGAGCTATTATGAATAAAGCTGCTATATAATTCACGTATACACTAAGTCTTAATTCCTTTGGAATAAATGCTTGTCCGATTGGGTTTTTAATTTCTGCTAGCATATGTTGCATTTCCAGCAGGTGTCCGTTGTCTCAACGTTACCTCTGCAAGGATGTCCTATTCTCTGTTCAGGAATGTAATACGTTATTTCTGTGCACGCGTCCAGTCTGTTTCTCTCAAGTTTGACAAACTTTGGTTGCTCACAGTAAATGTCGGGAATTAAAAAGAAGTTTGATTTGGGGGCTGATAGGACCGTTTTTTATCTTGATTCTAATGACAGGTTTCAACTGTCTGAACTCATAAAACGGTACACACACACACACACACTTCATTTTGCTTTAACTAAAGTATGCCTCAATTAAAGATACTTTTCCAAGTTTGAAAGCTTTGAGCTCATGTTTACAGCATACTGAATCTGAACTTTACTGTACAATTATCTAACAGAGATGTTTAATTGGGGACCCTGATGGTCATTCTCAATGGGCTTGACAGAGTCCCCTGAGAGATCAGACTGTACCAACCTCTGGCCAGAGAAGGGTGAACGCTGGTGGCCAGGGTCCCAGGAGCTCCATGGGAGGTACGTTCTCGGGATTCGGTACGGCTCTGCTCACCTGAGTACCGTGTGGGCACAGCGCCCCCGCCTTCATTTGATCCCAGTGCCTCCAGCCGAGAGGATCTGGTCTAACCATCTCCAGAAAATCACTGTCCAGGTATTTGCCCGTGTGTGGAAAGTGCACTGTAGACTGTAAGGGACGTGAGAGTCTCAGTCTTTCTTAAATGGGCTTTCAGTCGGCTTGACGTCAGCTGCCACCCCCCATCCCCTCCAGAAGTACATGGCGTCGCTAACTTTTGAGTTTTGGGTGACTCTGATGAGAAGTGAAGTACGTTTCTTGACTTTCCCTGTACTTGCTTATAATCTTTTTTTTTTTTTTTTTACCACTCATCTGCCTTCTCTTTCCCCCGGAATTTCATTGCTGTTTGTCTCCTTTACTCTCCCCCTCTCCTTGAGAGATTATTTTTAAAGGCAGATCCCTCGCCCTCTACATCACTCTGTTGTCTCTGGCACCGACTGTCCTTATAAAAAAGGCTGGGGCCAGGCTGGTTCATTGGCCTTGTGAATAACTCGCTTAACCTGAACATGTCCGTGTCAGTCATGCTACGTCAGTTTCTCCCAGAAAACGGTATGTTATTTCAATCTTCAAAGTCAGTTTTTCTTTAATATGAGGATGTTTTCTCCTATCATATTTTTGAATACCTCTTCCGTACCACTCGTTGGATTTTCCACTGCAGGGTGTGAATTATAAACATAATTCATAATTACGTTGGCACATCCTTGTCTACATCTATCCATCATCTTTATCTCAACCATTCCTATGTCCTGAACTTTATTCTCAGTCCTCTGCTTCTTTTGATTCCAATGCACCTGGTAGTTCAGTGACAAGAGGGGTTTTGGTTGTCAGTGTGACCTCAACAGTCAGTGCAGGGCCTCGTTCCACACAGCACGTATTCGCTAGGGAGAGAGACTGCGCTGTGTTCCCCAGGAGAAATCCCGACAGCTCTTTCTTTCTCATCTCTGTCTCTTCTTCTAAGTGTCAGTACCAGGTATGGAATCACTGCATTGGGCAAAGAACACACGGGTTTGTTTGTTTTTTTATCTGTCTCCTTTCGGTAACAATTTCCCTAGCACGGGCAGCGGTGTTTAGCCTGGCCTTGTCCATATCATAGTAATAAGCAGAGGACACTAGAAGCCTACAGACTGTGCCACAGGAAAGAACGTGCTGCGTTTTTAGAACAAACGGTAGACCAGTGTGATCGGGCCATTATACGCAGGACGCACAGCAACGTGAATGGCTTGAGCTCACAACGCCTCCTCCTACAAACAGCGAGGAGTTCAGACTGTACTTTGTGAGCACTGGGAAATCATCCCAAAGCCTTACGCTGGGAAATGGCATAAGTGATTTATATTTTTAGAAGCTCCTCCTTGGGGCGCCTGGGTGGCTTAGTCGGTTGAGCGTCCGACTTTCGCTTGGGTCATGATCTCGCGGGTCGTGGGTTCGAGCCCCGCGTCGGGCTCTGTGCTGACTGCCAGCTCAGAGCCTGGAGCCTGCTTCAGATCCTGTGTCTCCCTCTCTCTCTGACCCTCCCCTGCTCACGTTGTCTCTCTCGCTCTCCTAGAAATAAATAATAATAAAAAAAATATTTAAAAAAAAAAAAAAAGAAGAAGCTCCTCCGGCTCACGTGTGATGACCAGGACTGGTGTGGACTAAGAGGGAACGCAGGGAGAACCAGAGATGAGGGGCTTGGCCTGGACACGGAGGGACGGAAGGGACTGGGTACACAAGACGGACTCCTGTCCCAGGCGGAAAGCTGACCGCACCTCCTGGGGAAGTGATTCTGGATGGCGACCAACACGGGAGACGTAAGGATGGCTCTCGGCGTATAGAGGGGGTCTTCTCTGAGAACCAAAGATCTTTACTAGATTCTCAAAGGAATTCATATCAAAACACATTAAAACCTTACTTTTAGACACTTGAATATTTTGTACGAAGTCAGGCCACCAGAGGCCACCACGTCAGCATGGCCATATTTTGGCCTCTTCAGGAATTACTTGTTTCTTACACTGCGCCATGGATTCTGCCACAGGCCTGCGTTTCTGGATCTAACGAGGACCAGCTCTAGAAAACCCAAAACTGTATTTACTAAGGAGATATTTTAAGGCCACTGTTCACCATATCTCAACGCCCGTTGTGTAAAAACTTGACAAAATCTCCCTCAATTCTCCCTCCTCTAGTCAGGTAGTAGGAAAGGCAGAGGTAGATCTTTAGGTTAGTTCTAAAGCAAGTCTGTGGGCCTTTATGGCTTGAATTCTGCAACCAACAGATTCGTTTTTCTTCTAACACCATCCTGCCCCCCCACCTTCCTTTTCTTCCTACCTCGACTTCCTTGCTTTGGAAAAATATTACATATGCGCTTTTGAGAGGCATCCCCAAATCTCTTCATAATAGGAACTTAAAACAAAATAATAGATCAGATTTCTGATAAGCACATTTTGAAAATAATAAATAAATAAGCAAGTAAACAAACGAATAAGAAAAGGAGAGTTGATCTGCAGTGAACCTTAGGAAACAGATCCTGAAGTAATCCTATAGGAGACTCTTTTCCTATAAAGGTATTCCTGTCTGGAGTACAGCCTTCTATATTCTTCCTCTCGGGTGCCTGCCTTTCTACCTTAATTTGTCATTAATTTCAAAAGTTTCTTTTTTTTTTTTCTCTCCAGGCACCTAGGTGGCTCAGTCGGTTAAGCATCCGACTTTAGCTCAGGTCATGATCTCATGGTTCGTGGGTTCGAGCCCCACATTGGGCTGGCTCTGTGCTGACAGCTCAGAGCCTGGAGCCTGCGTCAGATTCTGTGTTTCCCTCTCTCTCTGACCTTTTGCTCCTCACATTGTCTCTCTCTCTCTCTCAGAAATAAATTTAAAACATTAAAAAAATTTTTTAATGAAACTTTTTTTTTACCTAAGTCTTAAACTCGTAACTGTTGACATAACTCTAAAACTCAAGTAAAAGTTTACCACTGCAGAAAAAAATGACTTGTTATTACAGGGAGTTACTTCTAAACGCCGATCCAATAATGTCCTCTAAAACATATGTTTCTCATTGAAAACAACCATCTAAAGTAACATGACAAAGTACCTATGTATTTTTCAGTATCTTCACGCCCAGTGCAGAGTCCAACGTGAGGCCTGAACTCACGACCCTGCGAAGAAGCCTTGAGCTGAGTTAGACACTTAACTGACTGAGCCACCCGGGTGCCCCTACACTATAAAGCTTTAATCATGTTTACTGGAAACGTATATAAGAGCTTCAGTTAGTCGTCAGGCCATTTAACTACTGCCATGACTTAAAGGCCTTCCCAGTACTGGCGATGCCTTCAAGGGAGAGGAATGATATTTCATTCTCTTTGGTCTCAATTCTCTTTGGTAGAAAACATAAAGTACGAATACTCTCCCTGCTTTCCTTATTTCTCTCTATCCCTCCCACGTTGGAAGAGTGTGCAGAAAAGGGCCACTCAACCTACAATCAAAACACAACGTAAGAAAATATTTCTTTCGAAGCTTGTGATGCTTGGTTGGGACAGGGGGAAATACACGTGTGTGGAGTTCATCTTTTTGGGAATCTGACAGCCCACCCCCGCCCAGGCCATAAACAGTGCAGGCTCCTAGGCTCCCAGAGCCGTGTGCACGTGACCCGAGCCCGGCTACCGCCATGCGTAACGGACGTGGCTGGACGGCTGACCCGATTTGCACCAATCAGATGTCCTCTCCCATCATTTAGGATTGAGACTGAGAAACAGTGAGTCAGTTGATTCCTCCTACGACCAAAACTATTGGATAAACTTGTTCGTAGAAGAAAGGCCTTATTTCGGCTGCTGTGTGCATGCCGGGGGCAGACAGAGTCTGGACGCAGAAGCAGAAGAATGAAACCGCGTGCACGCGCGAGGTGCAGTTTCTAGTTTTCAGTTCTTCCTGAGGCCTTGATACCCTCTCGCATTCCACAAAGTCTCACAGTAACTTGGGCTTCCTCAGATAGACGTTTGTCACTTGTAACCCGAAAGTCCTAATGCGTACGCTCTATGTCCCCCTTTCCCCAACTGGCGTATTATTATTAGCTAGGGTTTCAATTACTGAATTCCTAATTTTACTAAAACGGGAATAGGATTTCCTACAACGTAACTGTTACAAGTAACTCGCAAAACACAAAGCGACAGCGAAGTCTGTTGCCTGAAAGAGAAGCTCTGAAAAGGTAAAGCAGTAAAACGCCGTCTTACTTCGAGATGCTCTTTCTTATGCACTTGGATAGCCTTCTCTTCAGAGAGCCCGCAGCAGCCATACTCCAGGGGAGTAAACACTGTAGTCGGAACATTGAGGTAATCGCACTGAAAGACAAACGAGTTACGTCTGCTTAGTTGGGGACACTTTTCACAGGAAACATCGACCTTAAATACATCTACGGAAGGAGAATAAGGAAGCCCGGTTCAACGTGACAGATTTGGCCATATCACCGCTTTGGGGACTGTGACGTCACCCTCAAGGGTGGGGTGGGGCCAGCTCTCCCGGAGCCCCAAGCTGACTTCCGTTTCTGAAACAGGGCATTTGAGGCGAAGTGCCTCGACAGACGCGCTCTAAAATGTCTTCTTGCCTTCCCTAGGATTCCAGACCCTTCTCTGCCAGCACACCTCTACCAGGCGACTGAGAATCACGCCTTTTCGCTGGGAGCTGAGGCCACCCTTGGCCGTTCACACAACGATGCCGCAGAGGGGCTGGGCGAAGAAGTGTTTCAACAGTGCGGGATGGCGTGACTGCCCTGGACCATCGAGGGGAGATGGTGCATGTACGGGGTGGGGGTGGGGGGGCTGAAAAATGGGGACCAGGATCTCACAGGCCCTGCGCCTCTGGCAGAGCCCCCAGAGAGCCCTTGCCAGACTAAGGCAGGGCGTGCGTGGACATCACAGGGACACTCCAGACCCGGAGCCCTACGCGCATCTACTGGCAGCTCTGTGCGCCTGCCTCTGGGAAGGGGCGAGCCCAGGTGGCATCCTGCCTGGAAGAGAGTGTCTCTGGGATACCTGGAGAGAACTGGAACACACTGGTGGAAGCATCATAAAACCTTTGGGTGCAGAGAAGGCAGGGGCAGAAAGGCTGGAGGGGACAACCAGAGACCGAGGTCACTGGCCTGTCCATCCATAGCCCCTCAAGGGGCGACCCTGCACACAGCACTACGTGTCCCCCCCAACCTTGCCAACAGGTTGTTGGAGATTAGGTCAAGGCTGACAAGAAAGCTGACGCAGAAGCTGGCCAGAAACCTACATAGAAAAAGATAAGCTACGTTAATCAGTTCTTTCTTCTGCAGGAAGATGAGCTAGAGGCAAAGGAAGACTCTCTCAGCGGCAGCGGGACCGGAAGAAATGCACCTGTGGAGCCGTGGCCACGCTCGGCCGGTGGAAGAGCGCCCCGTGAGGCCCCCTCCTGTGCTGGGGCCCCAGGGCGGCCGTGACCCCGGACCCAGTTCCGGCTCCACATGCAGGGCGGCCCGGGCCGGGAATGCTTCTTATTCAAAGGCGCCGTGCATTTCAACCCAGAGTTACAGGCTCCTTGTAGGAAACCGCCTCAGTCTGCGTAACATGAAGGAGTGTCTACTTTTCGTGACCCCGAGCAAAACCAGACCAAAACGCCACCCAGTATCCTTACACCAATGAGGCCGACGAGACACGTCGGCCTAGAATCTCTACGCTACATGCTCTAAGACCGCTTCACTTTGCTAACCTGCAAATCATGGATCTGCTGACACCAAGGGTTTTCTTTGTTCCAACATGAAGGAATCACGTAACCACAGGGACCGCCTTCGTCTTTTCTGAGTTCTCTTAGGCCCTCAAATATCCATCAATTTGTTTGCAGTTGAACCTTGAATAATGTGGGGGTTGGGGTGCTGAACCCCATGCAGTCAAAAATCCATACATAACTTTTGACCCTCCCCCCACAAAAAGTTACCTACTAATAGCCTACTGTTGACTGGAAGCCTTACCAATTAACACAAACGGTCGATTAACATGCATTATTATGTTGTACGTATCTTATGCTGCGTTCTCACAATAAAGCAGGTTAGAGAAAAAAACGTTATGAAGAAAATCATAAGGAGAAGAAAATACATCTGTCGTACTGTCCTGTGTTTACTGAGAAGAATCTACTGTAAGTGGCCCCACACAGTTCAAACCCATGATGTTCAAGGTCAGCTGTCCTGACCAGCAACTGACCCCGGGTCCCACGACTTACAGGGAGGGCTTATTCTCAATGGATGCCTTTTGTCTCCTGCTTCCTAACAATTAAGAATAATCAACAGGAAATGCCTCCATGTTCCTTCCTTCCACCGGAAACAGTTTCCCCACGGGGCGCCTCGGTGGCTCAGTCGGTTAAGCGGCCAACTTCGGCTCAGGTCGTGATCTACGGTTGGTGAGTTCAAGCCCCGTGTCGGGCTCTGTGCTGACAGCTCGGAGCCTGGAGCCCGTTTCGGATTCTGTGTCTCCCTCTCTCTCTCTCTCTGCCCCCTCTTCTGCTCGTGCTCTGTCTCCCTGTCTCTCAAAAATAAATATATATTAAAACAATTTTTTAAAACAACAGCAACAAAAGTTTCTCCACATCTCAGACCATCTCCTCCAACTGAAGTTGACTTCATCTGGCCTCTCCTGAAGGCTTCCTTTCGGTCCTATACCTTTAGGCTCACTCTTTTTAATTTTTTAATGTTTATTTATTTTTGAGACAGAGAGAGAGAGTGTGTGTGAGCATGCAAGGGGCAGAGAGAAAGGGAGACACAGAATCTGATGCGGGGCTCGAACTCACGAACTGTGAGATCATGACCTGAGCCAAAGTCAGAAGCTCAATCGACGGAGCCACCCAGGTGCCCCAGGCTCACTCTTTCTTCATGCCCTAGCCACTCTGCTCCTCCGAGCCACCTTGATGGGCTTCTCAGAGCACTGGGCAACTACTCTACCTCCATACACCCCAAAGCTAAATGCACTTCAACCTTGTATGTCCAGCATCCCATGTCCCACCCAATGATGCCCGCAGACCCGCGTCCTAGCTCCCCCTCATCCAGCAACGCCTCCATGCATGGAGGTCTTCAGTCACCACCTTACGAGGCACCTGGTGTGATAAAAAGGCATCCTTTACGAAGCACGTGTGCTCAGAACGCCTCTGAACTGAATCATGCAAAACAGAGAAATCCAGAATACGAGACATTCTATAAGGAAAGTAGCCTGCATTCATCAAAAATCAAAGTCATGAAAAATAAAACAAGCAGATAATTCAAGGCAGGGGGACCATGTCAGACTGAAAGAGATGTAAGCCTCACAAGAGCTGAATGTACCTCAGGAAGCAAACCCGTGCACATGCGCACACTGAATGGAGGAAATCCGAGCAGTACTGCGTTTTTGTTGAATTTCTTAGAATAATGGAACTGTGATAATGGAAGTAAAGATCCTTGTTCTCTCAGAAAACACAGGTTGAAGTATAAGGGGCAAGATGTCATTGATGCCTGCCACTTACCTCAAAAAGCTCTGGGGAAAAAATTACATGTGTATACACACACATATTCAGAAAAGGAGTGAGTGCCAAGAAGGCAAAGCATTAATAACCGGGGAATCTGGATGAAAGGGCAATATGGGTGATGGTCACTATCCTTCCTGTGGTTTAACATCTTTCTTTTTTTTTTTTTTTTAATGTTTTTTATTTATTTCTAGGGGAGAGAGAGAGAGAGAGAGAGACAGCGTGAGCAGGGGAGGGTCAGAGAGAGAGGGAGTCACAGACTCTGAAACAGGCTCCAGGCTCTGAGTTGGCAGTCAGCACAGAGCCCGACGCGGGTCTCTAACCCACGAACCGCGAGATCATGACCTAAGCGAAAGTCGGACGCTTAACCGACTAAGCCACCCAGGCGCCCCAGTTTAACATCTTTCTAAACAAAATGATGGAGGAAATAAAGTTCTCAACAGTTCCCACTGCCTGGAGAAGGCCTTTCCAATTTGTTATTGTGGCATCGGAGATTTTTTTTAATACATTTTTTTAACGTTTCTTTATTTTTGAGAGAGAAAACAGAGCGCGAGTGGAGGAGTGGCAGAGAGAGAGGGAGACACAGGATCCGAAGCAGCTCCAGGCTCTGTGCGGACAGCTCAGAACCCACAACGCCAGGCTTGAACCCACGAACCGCGAGATCGTGACCTGAGCCGAAGTCGGACGCTTAACCGACTGAGCCCCCCAGGCACCCCGGAGTGCTGTAAGTATTCTAGAAGGGACAGCTCCTTGTGTGGGACACAACACTTAGCATTGCCACCCCCACCCGTGCCCTTCCTCCGCCAACACTGGCACGTGTCCAGAACGTCTCGTGAGGCACGCTGCCTCGGGGTGGGAGCAGTCGAGCACGCTGCTCGCCGTCCGAGAGCAAACCGCGCCCGGCGGAGTTCCGTGCCCGCATCTGCAGTGTCTCCTTACCAGAAAAGCCCTGCGCTTCCTCAGGTTTTAGTTACTCATCCTACGAAGCCTGTCTCACATCTTTGATCGAAGACAATGAAAGGTGCAGGAGACGGGAGCCATTATCTCCTTCGCACTTGGCGGAGGGGAAACGGAGGCAACCCGGCCAGGCTCACACAGCAGTAGGCACTGCAGTCAGGGCCAGGGGCCGACCACCCACGGGGGACACCTTTTCAGGCCAATCAGTTACAACTAACTGCCCTTGTTACGTTACTCGCCATCCCCCACCGACTCGGGAAGCCCTTTGGCTCTGGAACCTTGTCAGTCCTGCATACATCACCTAGCATGACATCTTGCACACGGCACTCAAACCATATTCGTAGAAAATCATTAGTAAATACTAATTTATCTGTGAGGAAACCTTTACTTGCAAAATAAGCACACAAGTGTTGCTGTTTTTTTAATCACAATTTTGATTTCGAGATCACCTCAAAAACAACAGGAGGAAACTCACCTTTTCCGAACGGCCCCCAAAGAGTCTCCGAGCCAGCAGCCTGCCTGCCTGTATGGCAACAGGTGTGAGTTCAAGTTTACCCTCCAGAATATCCCCCACAGCGTAAACGTAGGGCACATTGGTCTGTTCCACATCGTTGACTGGTATTTTGCCACTCCTGGTAGGTTTTGGAAAGGAAACAAAATACATTATGGCTCACTCTGTGCTGCTGATGACTAACACTAACTATTCCAAGAGAAAACGACTAAACACATAGAGCAAAGACCCCCCCCCCCCTCCAAGAAGTGATGCACCTCAGGTCATCAATGTCTATAACACCAATGGCTAAAATCATAGGGGTTTCTGCAGCCCCCCCAAAAAAACACCTTTTGGGTTGGTGAAACCACAGTCATTTTCTGGATGTCAAGGATATTTCCAGATTTCCCCCAAGTCCCACTTAGAGCTTTGACATTTTTCTCCTTGCCTGACCAACGACATGAAAGTTCACTCTAAATCAGACAGTGGATGAGCACATTTCCACAACTTGTCTTTCAAGATCACGGTGTAACATATCAGTTCTTTAAGACACACGATAATCACTGATTAATGAAAAAAAACTGATATTAATAAAGAGCTGGCACAATACTTACTGTGGAATAAACTTAAAGCATTAAAATTTTGCATCTTAATAACTAAATGAGAATTTCCAAGAGTCGATCTGCAGAAACACTGTGCTTTGTGCAGCAACAGGGCAATGGTCCCACGTGTACTCACTTCTCGTTGATTTTGACACCGATCTTATCCAAGCCCATTTTCCTCGTACAAGAGTCACGACCGATTGCTAACAAAACCTGTATTTAGAGCCAGATCAAAACCACGCGTGGTCAACATCAGGAATGACAGAGGCTTAGAACACACTAGAGATCTTTCAGATGTTAAAAGGAGAACAATATTAGGAACACGCTGTGCCAGACCTATTTCATCCATTTAGATGAAATAGATTCCATCTAAGTAACTCTATGTTACGTGCTAACTTGTGTCCCTCCCCCACAAATTCACATGGTAGAGCCTAGGCCTCCAGAGCCTCAGACTGTAATGTTTGGAGTCAGGGCGATTAAAATGTAGGCAAAATGAGGCCGATAGGGTGGGCCCTCACCTGGTATGACTGGTACCCCTATAAAAGCAGGTGATTAGGAGACAGAAGGCACAGGCTGTGAGGCAACCGCAGAAGGACGCAGGGAGCAGGCACCATCTGCAGGCCACAGAGAGAGGCTTCAGAAGAAACCAAACCTGCGAACACCCTGATCTGACCTCCAGCCTCCAGAGCCGTAAGAAACTCCATTTCCATTGCCATGTTTTCTTATGGCGACCCCAGCAGACGAACACACCCTACACTCACCACAGACACCGGATCCACCGTTTGTAAACTTCCCATAAATTAACTCAAGACCCAAATGACTTCACTGGTAAGGTCTACCAAACCTTCACTAAAAAATAATACTAAAATGCACAAACTTCCAGAAAAAAAGAAGGGGGAGTACTTCCTAAGTCCTTTTTATGAGCCCAGCATAAACGACAGACACAGAAATCAAACAAGGATATTAAAATAAAATTACAAGCCAATACTCCTCATGAACATAGATGCAGAATCCCAATAAAAAGGTAGCAAATAAAATATGGCGATATATAAAAAGGATAATGGGTCATGACCAAGTGGAGTTTGTCCCCTAAATAAAAATTTGGTTCAACATGCAAAAATCAATCAATGCTAAAACCTCTTTGAGGGGCATCTGGGTGGCTCAATCGGTTGAGAGGCTGACTTTGGCTCAGGTCATGATCTCACGCTTCATGGGTGTGAGCCCTGCGTCGGGCTCTGTGCTGACAGCTCAGAGCCTGGAGCTGCTTCAGGTTCTGTGTCTCCCTCTCTTCCTGCCCTTCCCCCGCTCACACTCTGTCTCTCTTTCTCAAAAACAAACAAACACTAAAAATTTTAAAGAAAATTCTAGGCTCAGATGGTTACATCAGTGAATTCTATCAGACGAAGAATCAATTCTGATATTACAAACATGCTTCCAGAGAACAGAGAAAGAGATAATAAACTCTAAACTTCGTTCATAAGCCAGAACAACCTTGATACCCAAATCTGAAAAGTTCAATATATGAAAGGAAAATTATGAGCCAATATGATTCATGAACATAAATGCAAAAATCCTAAATAACCAAATCCAACAATATATTAAAAGAACCATTACCAAGTTGGGTTTATACCAGGATTAGAGTTGACTGAATGTTAGAAAACTGATGTAATTCAACACAGTAACAGATTAAAGAAAAAAGTCTTTTGATCAACAGCTACAAAAGAAACACTGGTACAGCCAAACATCCACTCAGGATGTTTAAAAAACAAAAAAGAAATAACCAAACCCTTGGCAAAGAGAAATGAGAAAAATTCTTTCACTTAATTACTAACATCTAATAAAATCCTGCAGCAAACATTACTCTTTAATGATGAAACACTGAAAACTTTCAGTATTGACAACAAGAATGCCACTTGTCCTTTCGTGGAGGTGCTAGCCAGTGCAGGTATGCAAAAAAAAAAAAAAGAAATAAAAAGGAAAAGAGCAGACACAGAGGCGCCTGGGTGGCTCAGTCAGTTAAGTGTCCGACTTCGGCTCGGGTCATGATCTCGAGGTTCATGGGTTTGAGCCCCGCGTCAGGCTCTGTGCTGACAGCTCGGAGCCTAGAGCCTGCTTCGAATTCTGTGTCTTCCTCTCTCTCTGCCCCTCCCCTGCTTGCGTGCTCTCTCTCTCTCAAAAATAAACATTAAAACACAATTTTAATTAAAAAAAAAAAGAACAGATATATTCACGGGTCAGAGGATTGAATATTGCAAAAAAAAATTACCAATCGATTTTATATCTAATGCAACCCTAATAAAAATCTTAACTGAGGTCGATTTGTTTTCCTACTTATTTTTTTGACTTTGTTGATTCTCCTATATTGTTTACATTTTTAGCAAAAAATATTTATGAATACATCAGTAGATAAAACATAAATGTATCATTATGTTAAAACTCTAGGCTACAGTATACGAAAGACATGGTGACATCCAAATATCAGCAACTTAAATTACAACGATTGCCACCCAATATAGCCCATGGACTAGTCACACTGTAGATTTTATATTGTTTCTTTTTGAAAATAAAAAGAGCTTGGTGCTCCTGGGTGGCTCAGTCGGTGAAGCATCCGACCTCGGCTCAGGTCATGATCTCACGGTTCATGGGTCTGAGCCCCACGTCGGGCTCTGTGCTGACAGCTCAGAGCCTGGAGCCTGCTTTGGATTCTATGTCTCCCTCTCTCTCTGCCCCTCCCCCACTTCTGCTCTCTCTCTCAAAAATAAATAAATGTTTAAAAATAATTAAGAAGTAAAAAGATCTTTATTGCTGTCTCTGACTGTAAGATACACTCAATTTTTATTGAAAATATTCAAATGCCCAAACATAGAAGATACCTAATGCCCCAGAGCTAAGTACTTATAACCGCCAGGTCTATCTGCTTCCAGATTTTGTTCTTGGCATAATTACACCTACATGTATATTTTCTTACAACATTTGTCACGTACAATGAAAACTACCAAATAGCAACAGCTCAACTACCTGCTATCTTTATTACGGTCTTAGAGTCAAAAGAAAAAAAAGTGAAACTGGTAGAATTTTCCCATAAACTTCATCTGTGCTCACTTATGAGCATGTTCCACCACGTACCGCTTATAAAATAAAAACTTACTGTATTATATTCTCCTTCAATAGTTTCTGGCCCTTCGGTGGACTTAGCCACTACTTTCAGCTTTCCAGGTGACCCTTTCTCCAACTGCTGAACCTGGTAAGGATAAACAATGTAATCATTCTGTCTAAACCTGACAGAAAATAAATGGGTCACAGGGTGCATGCACGTGTGTGTGCGTGTGTGTGCGCGTGTGCACGCGTACGTATTTAGGTTTGTGGACTAAGTAAGGATAGAGCAAAAGAGGACTGTCACACAATACAATTCGGAGGTCGGACTCAATTAATGGATTCGTTGGTGGTAATATAAAAGGAGTGAGGGGTGCTTTCTAGCTCCGGGTTTAACAAATCGCATGGCCTCCAGTACCACTTACTGAGTGCCGAGATAGGCCAGAAAGACGAGCTGGAAGAATTTTTCACTTTTGTCTTACTAAAGTTGAAATGCTTATGAGGAATTCAAGTGGAGATATCCCACAACCAAATGTATAAACGGGCGTGGGGTTCAGGAGAGCTGTCTGAGCCGGACAGATAAATCTGAGAGCCAGTAGCATCGAGGTAATAAAGTACGGACCAGAAGAAGACCGCCCAGGTAAAACGTGCAGAGAGGAGCAGAGGGAGCACAGGTGCTCTGACATCTACAGGTTGAGGGGACGCAGAGCCCGGGCTGCGGGACCAGGAAGGTCAAGAAAGGAGAAGGTTTCAAAGCGGAAGGCATGTCAATTTCACAAACGCTGCCCGGTTATTACATGAAGGACAGAGATGTGACCTTGGCTTTGACAGCATGGAGTTTGTCACTGACCCCGCCATGCAATTGCACAGGAGCAGCAAGCATGGAAGGCTGAAGTGGGACATGGAGGCAAGAAACCAGAAGTTTCCTCACACATGGGAAAAGACAAATGGGGACTCAGTCAGAAGGGCAGAGGCGGGAAGGGAGGGCTCATTTGTTGAAAGAGGAGAGACACTGGTGGGAAACGGGGAGGGGTGAGGACGGCTAACTGAAGACGGGGCACCCCTGGGAAAGACAGAGAAGGTGGCAATATAGACCAGGACCTGAGGGGAACAAGGACACCTTCGCGCACGGAGGCGAGGTCGGGGGGACACGTGGAGGTCAGTTTTGTAGACCGGAAGGTGGGAGCACTATCTTGAAGGTGTCTTACTCAGTGCCGACTAATTTATTTCATGAAAGAAATGGATTAAAGGCAGGTAGAATAAAAAAAAAAAAAAAAACTAGAGAGAGAGTAAAAAACTAAAAACAAAAGGAATTTCCAAACGCCTTGCAGACTCACCATCACAGGTATAAATTTTCTTAAGAACTTGACGCCATGTTGCTCCATGTAGGAACCCACTCTCTCTGCCATTTCCTGGTCAAAGCCGCGAAGAAGGATCGAGCGCACCATAACCGTGACATCTAAGCCGAGTCCGGAAAGAAATCCCGCGCATTCCAGAGCAACATAAGATGCGCCCACCACTAATGTTTTGCCAGGACAGTAAGGCAGAGAAAAAAGGTCATCACTGAAAAATAAAAACAACAAAAGGGACGCCCAGGCAATAAAAATGAAATGAATTATTTAGGTTTCGATGCACAGGGGTCTTCTGTCGGCTGCACTGCAACGTGGCGCTTGAAGGAAGACACATTAATGGAATCAGCCTTCTGGAGTTTGTGATGGTGTCCACGGTAGATCTTTCAAAACCAAATTGGTGGATCACAAGTGAAGGTATTTTAAAAATGAAATAGGATAGAAACCATTAGACAACATTATACGTGATAAGAAATATTGTTTGGTTTGAGCGTGTGTGTGTGTGTGTGAATCTGAACACCAGTACAATGAAAAATGCACTTCTTAACGTGCATCTGGCCAAAAAAGTTTGAAAGTCACTGTGGTACGTTTTACAATGTCCTCTTTACAGCCATCCTGGGAAAACTATTGTGCCATCTCGGCATTGAGGACGGCCACGTTTCTCCTGATCAACTGGGTCGTCGGCACATAGACACGAAACCCTAAAGCTACTTGCATTTACTTCTTTGCTTCGGCCCCCGTGAAATTCCCAGACCTCACTGAGCAATTAGCTAGAATCATACAGCAGGTATTCGTGCATCAATTCGACCTTATTATTTACCTAGCCTGGTTTTCTCTCGGCTTCGTTACGTTAACCACTGTTTGTGTTATACTTTTCAGGTGTCGTCAATGCAAATCTTCTGCGAAACGATATCAGAGACTACATAAACTGGAAACATAACCAGAACGCAACTTGCGGTTACAACAGTCTACTTGGTCTTACCTAGTAATACAGTACTCTTTATCTCCTGGGACCCCCAAATACCGTGGCCTTTCACCCGTTGCTATGACAAACTTTGCAGCGGTGTAGCAAGTTTCCTGTCCTTTTCTGTTGGTTGCCTGGAAGAAGGAAAAGTAAAGCTCACTTCTTCTGGCACCACCGTAGAGTACGAGACACCCTGACGACTAGCGACAACCCTCACAGCCCTTCCCACCCGACAGGCACGCACGTGTACACGCAGTAGCGCAGGGCGAGGAGCGCGACATAGGAAAGACCAGTCTCTATAGAACTGTAACCAGGAGAGCCCGGCGCAGGGGGACTGGAAAGCCAGCCAAGGATGGCTTTGAAGGTGGGTGATATTTCAAGTGCAGACAAGACAGTGCAATGATCTGGGAAGAACGGAACCCCACAGAGAGAACAGGGCGTATAGAAAGCACACAGACCTGAAAGCGGCTGGTATCTGGGGAGCAGCAGGTGGCCTGAACGTGGCAGGAAAGGAGGGTACAGGTCACGGAGAAGGAAAACACGTTAGTGCCGAGCGTGAACGCCTCAACATGCCATTGTAAAGATTCCGGCTATGGGGCGTCTGGGGGGCTCACTTGGTTGAGTGCCTGGCTTCATCTCAGGTCGTGATCTTGTGGTTCGTGGGTTCGAACCCCACTCCAGCTCAGAGCCTGGAGCCTGCTTTGGATTCTGTATCTCCTCCTCTCTGCCCCTCCCCTGTTCCCGCTCGGTCTCTCAAAAATGAATAAGTTTTAAAAATTTTAAAGATTTCAGCTATGGGGAACCAGGAAAGGTTATTCACTGTTTGCAGATTTTCAATTCTATGAGTAGTTCATAAATACATCTTCATCGAAAAAATTAAAAAACCAATGAAGGTGCTTAAACAAGGTGGTTTAGGGGCGCCTGGGTGGCTCAGTCGGTTAAGCATCTGACTTCAGCTCAGGTCACGATCTCATGGTTCGTGGGTTTGAGCCCCACGTCGGGCTCTGTGCTGACAGCTCAGAGCCTGGAGCCTGTTTCAGATTCTGTACCTCCCTCTCTCTCTGACCCTCCTCTGCTCATGCTGTCTCTCTCTCTCTTGTGCATGCACTCTCTCAGAAATAAATAAAACATTAAACAAATTTTTTTAAATAAAATAAACAAGAAGGTGGTTTAAACTGTGGTGTGGAAGGAGGGCAGCCCGGAGACACGCACCTTCTCAGAGGATCTGGAAAGAGGCAGACAAACACAGGCTGTCGGAGTGGAGGGAGAGAAACCAGAAACTAACTAACTGAGGAGACACCGATTATCAGAAAATGTGGGAGCAAGAGGCAGCTACGGCTGTGAACGACAGGCTTCTATTCAACCAAATGTGCTGGGCAGGTCACGATCTGGGAAATAAAACTACCTGGCCTGTATTCCTGTCATGTTTCGTGTGACTGATAGAATTCAAACTGGCTGGCGTGCGGTTTCACAAGGGCCAGCTCACAGTGGGCCGCCTCGTACCTTTCCAGAGGTAACGAGTGACTACTAAATAGCCTCCAATCCCACCAACAACCCTGCACGCTGGGCTGTGAAAGCAGAGCTCAAAATTAAACCAGGCGCTGAGGTTGTACGCGATGGTCGTTATAACGCCAGTGTGAGATTTTTGTGTTCATCACAATGATCTCATTTTCCTGACGTACTGATCTTACGATACATAAACGTGACGACGTTTGTAAGACGACACGCTCACGTTCATACTACTTTCGTTAATGCTTTTAGGAGTAACATATTGGAGTCCTAGTTAAGGTTTCATTTAATTTTTTCTAATTATTATATTTTTGGAGTACCGCCGACACACAATACCACATTTAGTTCCAGGCCTACGACCCGGTGACCCCGCACATCCATGCCTGCTCTGGGCTCCCCGGCGTCGCTGCCATCCGTCGTGTGACATAACAATGCCACTGCCTCTCTTCTCCAGGCTCTACCTTTAGCCCTGTGACTTACTCATTCCATTCTGCCCATCCCCCTAAGGTTTCATGTCATTTAATTTTTTAATTTCTTTAAATGTTTTATTTATTCTTGAGAGACAGAGTGCGAGTGAGAGAGGGACACAGAATCAGAAGACAGGCTCCAGGCTCTGAGCTGTCAGCACAGAGCCCGACGCGGGGCTCGAACCCACGAACCATGAGATCGTGACCTGAGCCGCGGTTGGATGCCTAACTGAGCCACCCAGGCGCCCCCTAAGCTTTCATTTTAAAAAAGAATTGCTAAAATTTTTAGTTTTAGTCTTTGAAACTTCCAACTATTTAAACATTTGCTCTTAAGATAGTAATAGATTCAAAAGGCAAATAATAACCTCAAATTTAAGGGCTCTGTTAAAAGGCAATTACTTCAGCTTAGCAGGGCGTGTGGAATCGACACTGGGGAAGCAGTGCACGCGAGGCCGTGTGTGCAGACACATGGAGCTGTCAGATCAAGGCGGGTGCCAGCAACAGTGACGAAAAGCAATGGACACACGGTACCTTTATTTTATGATGCTCGACAAATTCTCCATAGGCATTGACATAGACCACAGACTTCTCCCTCAAGGACAGCCGGTGGCCCCAGTTGAGAGAGCCGATGTGGTTCTGAATCGCTTCCGTCATGGTCTCCCAGTTGTGCTTCACTGAAAGAAATCGTCAGAGTGAAGGCATAAGGTGGATTTTATTTTTAATGCTCAATCAGACACAACCACGCGGAAGCCACACTATAGACTGCTTTAAGAATCAAGAAGTGATCGGGGCGCTTGGGTGGTTCAGTCGGTTAAGAGTCCGACTTTGATCTCACGGTTCTTGCGCCCCTCCATCAAATATTTACATCTGATTTTTCCACATCGTGTAAGGAAGGGTCCATTTCTTTGCTTAGTTTAACGACAAGCTTTTTTTTTTTTTTTTAAAGCCATAACAGATATGAGGTTTTTATCAGCTGCCTTTGGAGCTAGAATCCAGGTCATCACGTGGGCTTTAGCATCCCTACTATGGTTTCCTAATGACTCATTCGTGTGCTTCCAGATTGAATGCTCAGAAGTCACCATGCATCCCTTTAGTCACCGCTGGAGAGGATTTGCTAATGCTTTTCCTAGAATTCTGGTACCTCTATGGGCTACGGCTTTCTATTTTTACACTCTTTTTGTATCATTGTTATGTCAGTATCAAAAAAAAAAGTGGACCCTTCTATTTCTTCCCAAGCTCAAGAGCAGTTTGAATAGAGAAAAGGTGTCTCTTCCTTAAAGAGCTGAGGAACCTTACACGTGAATCTGTCGTCTCTTGAACTCTGGAGACTGGACTGTCCTTAGGCAATGTTTTCTTTGATGATTCAAGTCAATTTGGGTCATTCATATTTTCTTAGAATACAGTCCCTTTCATTGGGATATTTAAAGTTCTTCCCACTAATTTTACATTGAATTTGTTTTAGCTCTCTCTTCCTAAAGTTGTATTTTTCTCACGCCTGATGTTACGTATTTGTATGAATTCTCTCTCCTGTGCCCCTGACTGGATTTGCCAAAGGTCTACCTACTTATTTGCATTTTCAAATATATTCTTGGTTCTGTTCGTTGATTCTATTTTGGGGAGGGTGCTAACTCATTAATTCCTCAGTCTGACTGTCTGACTGTGTGTGTGTGTGTGTGTGTGTGTGTGTGTGTTGCCTTGCCTTGCAAGCTTTGGTATGCATTTCCCTGATAGATCTTTTCCCATCTATTTAGAAATGTCCCATCAATTTTAAATAGGAAAATTTAAATTTGCATTTAAAATTTTTAAATGCTTATATTCTCAACAATTATCTCTTTTGGTTTTAGCGGTGTGCCCTGTAAACAAGCACATGGATGAATTCTGTCTATGCAAACTGAGACCCCTTTGGCTTTATTCTAACATGTAAAAGACTGCCCTTATGTCTGTATCTTGCTTTCTGGGTTGTTTTTTGTTTGCTTTAAATGAGTGCCATGCTGTTTCTTTCTACAACTTTCCCTTCCCTTTTTCCTAGAAGTTCTTTATTCAGTTTCGGATCTGGAAACTAGGTATAGGTATACATTTTAAATTTATTTCAATTCATATTTCTCTACCAACATCAAGAACGAAAGCATCTAGAACATTCTCCCAGACCAAGATTTCAGCATGTTTTCACTTCCTTTCTCTTACCCCCTAATCTACAGACTCCTCTTGGCCATTCCAGGAAGCCTATGCCTAAAAACTAAGCTCCAAATTCCATGGGATGGCTAGTTGGCGATTTCTTAGTGTAGCACCTTGAAATTAACTTAGAAACATTCTGTCTGCGGAACTTTGAGGAATTTAATGCAAGATGTTACTCGCTCCAGGAAGTTAGGAATATTAAGTGCTTAGATGAGTTCAAGGATATCACCTGGCCCTTCAGGTGGGGTAGAGCGGCATGGGCATCTGCCGCACTGTCCCCCCCAGAAAGTACAGAGTCCCAGCGGTGCGGGGCAGTGTGCACAGACAGGACGGTGCTTCCCGACACACCAGGAAGTTCTCAGCTCGTGGGGAACCCTGCCGCGGCGTGTCGCCTGCACACATCCCTGATCGGCCATGCCCATCACAGGCCCCATGCGGTTCTATCCTTCGTGGCTTTTCTCTGTCTCACGGTTTTCTCCCTGCTTGGCCATGATTATTTTAGAATTTTAAAAACAGGGTATAAACGCTTTTAATTTTTTTTTTAATTTTTTTTTAATGTTTTATTTATTTCTAGGAGAGAGATAGAGACAGCATGAGCAGGGGAGGGTCAGAGAGAGAGGGAGTCACAGACTGAAACAGGCTCCAGGCTCTGAGCTGGCAGTCAGCACAGAGCCCGACGCGGGGCTCGAACCCACGAACCGCGAGATCATGACCCAAGCGAAAGTCGGACGCTTAACCGACTAAGCCACCCAGGCGCCCCGATAAACGCTTTTAATTTTAAAAGGAGACTCCCTCGGGCTTGGGGCTGACAGCTCAGAGCCTGGAGCCTGCTTTGGATTCTGTGTGTCTCTCTCTCTCAAAAATGAACATAAAAATATTTTTTAAAAAAATCTAGGCTCTCTGGGCTTCTGTGACGCAGGCTCCTGGTTTTCCTCGTCTTCCTCACCCACTCCTTCTCAGGATCCGGTCTGTGTCTTCTATTCTCCATCCAGAGGGCCTCCCTGGGCCCTCTCAGTGGTCCCTGATGGCAACCACCACCCGCAGTGTGGGCGGCGCGCCCCGGCCCTGATCAGGCCTCTCTCGAGCACAAACTCTCCCCAGACAGTGAACTCCGCCGGGAGGTCCCGCAGCGGCCCGAGGCGGGCAATCCACGCAGGACGCAGGATCAGTGGCAAGTCCTGGAGGTGAAGACGACCCCGTAGCTGACCCGACAAGTGCAGGGACCTCATCTGATCTACAGCCGGACGGACAGCTCCCCGAGGAGGTAAGCGGCTGGGGAAATCTGTCCGTGAGGAGTCTGTCCAGCCACAACTCATCATGCGGAACCCCAGCCACGCCCGGCCACTAACTCACACCTGCCGGTGCTTTCGAGCTCGGCCAACACACTGCACTGTCACCTGGTCCCTCGCCCTGGATTCCTTCTTCTCCTCCACCCTCTACCCCACCTGTGACCTGGGGGGCCTGGCAAATCACCTGTACGCAGTTCTCCCATCAAAATCTCTGGGGAAACAGACACGTGCTTGAATTTTTTTTTTAAATTCCATATACGTTATTCTAAAAAGACAAAGCCACCAATCCACCTCTGGCCTGTCAATTCCAGGCCTTAAATCGTCGAAATCCACCTCATACTCTCAGACCGAATTCAGCCTTCGCCCAGGCCTGTTGCTGGGTCAGGCAACAGCAGCCCCGAGCACCTCGTCTTTGGGCTTGCCCCCTCCCCACCTCCAGCCTGCTAAATTCCTTAGTGCCCCCTGAAAGATCCAGAATCCAAACTGTGGTTCAGGCTCCTTGCCTACAGACGCTCCTCAACGGCTCTCTTACCTTCTTTGGGGTCAATCCTCACTCCTTCCGAGGGCACTGAAGAGCCTTCACCACCTGCTTCTCTGTCATCTCATGTTGCCAGCATCCCTCGGCCCTTCTCCACGCCGGCCATTCATCACCCCCCCCCAATACTCCGTGCTTTCTCACAGCTCGGCAGTTCAGAGCACGCTGCTTCCTATCTTCGGTGCCGCGCTCTGTGGCCCTCGAGATGCAGCTCAAGGGTCACCTGGCCCACATCAGACTCTCAAGGCCACGTTAAGTGCCCCTGAAGGCAATGCTCAAAGCCTCACTGTGAATTACAGCGCACAAAACTGCTTCTCTTCTCCTCTTCTGACAGACCGTGTCTGCTTAAGGGCAGGAGCCGTATTTCCTCCTGTGTCCTCAGAGCCTGCCCTCTAAGTATTTATCGCGTAAATCTGGTTTCTGTCTTTCACTAACCAAAGACCTAGCCAACCACGGGTAAAGTAGAAAATGTTATGACAATAATGGATAAAAATGAGATAATGGCCCTGGCGATTCTATTTTCTTTATACCTAAAGGGAATCTGAAAACAGCAATTATTCTCTCTCGTGTTCTGTAAAGGGTCTCTCCCTGGGCACCCAGCCCCTGAGAGCAGGGCCAGGCTTCAAGCAATTGCCTCTGACTCCCTTGGGCCAAAGTGGGGTCCTAATGAGTGTTCATGAAACGAATTTCAGACTCCCCTACAGAAATATCAATGGCACGTCTTCCTCTAAGAAACTCATTCTATCGGGGCGCCTGGATGGCTCAGTCCGTTAGGTGTCCAACTTCAGCTCAGGTCATGATCTCGCGGTTCGTGGTTTGAGCCCCGCGTCGGGCTCTGTGCTGACAGCTCGGAGCCTGGAGCCTGTTTCAGATTCTGTATCTCCCCCTCTCTCTGCCCCTCTCTGCTCGTTCTCTCGCTCTCAAAAATAACTAAACGTTAAAGAAAAAAAAAAAACCTCATTCTATCTTCTTTTCTCCCAATCCAAATTTTTATATACGGTTACCCACCTTGTTGACTATACTCCCAGCCAAATTTCCTGGAGTCATTTAATGCCTGTCCCAGGAGGGCAGCCTGATGCATCAATTTCTTAGGAACACAGCCCACATTTACACAAGTACCACCAAGACCTAGGAAAGAAAAGAACGGTTTTACGTTTCCTCCGTGTCTGAGTCCGCGTATATGTGTTGTACATCTGTGCGGAGCAGCCGTGGTTGAGACAGGTGGCTGGGGGGCCAGCCTCACGATGCGGCACAAAAACATGCAGATCGTTAACCCCAACTCTGTAACTGAGGGCGTCTGAAGGACACCCAAGGATGAGCAAAAATACGGCCGTGCACGCCAACAGTTTTCTAGGGAGAGAATCCAAAACTTTCATTTGGTCTGACCCCTAAAGGGATCAGAACTGTGTCAGATTAATTCGACGGATACCAGACCGAGGGCCAGAACGCCAGCTTTCAGCCCTTATTCTCTGTAAGTCTGACTCCTTCTCTGAGCTAATGTTAGATCTGGTGCATGATCCCTGGAAACACCACTCTGAATCTTGAATGGCACAAAAACAGGCCATGTTGGGGTGCCCCGGGGCAGGGCACGGATCAGAAAACTCCATCTTTGATCACAGTCTCTCTTCTGGTCATCCAGAGAAGTAGGACATCTCTGGACAGGAGAGTAAGGGGAAAGAGGGAAAGAGGAGAGAAGGAGAAAAAAAAGACAGGTATATACACACATTTTAAAACATTTTTTTTAATGTTTATTTATTTTTTTATTTCTGAGAGACAGAGACAGCATGAGCAGGGGAGGGTCAGAGAGAGGGAGACACAGAATCTGAAACAGGCTCCAGGCTCTGAGCTGTCAGCACAGAGCCCGACGCGGGGCTCGAACCCACGAACCGTGAGATCATGACCTGAGCCGAAGTTGGCTGCCCAACTGGCTGAGCTACCCAGGCGCCCCTAATGTTTACTTTTGAGAGAGACAGAGTGTGAGCAGGGGAGGGGCAGGAAGAGAAGGAGACACAGCATCTGAAGCAGGCTCCAGGCTCCAAGCTGTCAGCACAGAACCCGACATGGGGCTCGAACTCATGAACGGTGAGATCATGACTTGAGCCGAAGTCGGATGCTTAACCAACGGAGCCACTCAGGCGCCCCATATACACACATTTTTTAACTTCCAAATGTTACAAGGAAAATCAAGACAGATTAGCTTCACTGTATGAAACTCTTTTTTTTTTGAGTACGTTTGAATTTTAAACACGATTTTCATATTGTGTCAGGATTCTAGCAGGAAATGGGACACCCTCAAGCTGGGAAACAGAGGCGAGTTTATAGAGAAACGATTACAGGGGTGTGGGCAGGAAGAGCAAAGAGCAACAGAACGGTGGGAGCCATTGCCAACCCCATGTGAAGGGGCAAGCACACTGAGCGCGCGACACAGCCCACAGAGGGGCGGCCGTGATAGGGGAGGTGGCCTTCCCCACCGGCAGCGACCAGCAGGGAGGGACCGGCAGAGAATGAAGACCTTCACCTCCACTTTCTTACCTCCTTCTATCCCCCCGTGACCTCTAACTGCCCAAGCCAGAGGGCAAGGCTGCCAATTCGCCAGCCTTCTGGGGCACGGAGTGGGGTAGAGACATGAGAAATGGATCTGACACAGGAGCGGAAAATACCCAACACAGAGTCCGTGTGTTCTATGAGGGGGAACGCTCTCATCTTCAGCGGGAAGCTCACTGTGCACTCTACTGAGTGACCTGGACGATCACACACACGCATGAACTTGACTGACCATCATGCAGCTATGAAATGGACGCAGAAACACAGACTAGCGTCACGGAAAGCTCAGGTGAGCACCACACAGGATGTCTACGCTCTGACTGCAACTAAGTGGAAACGTTAGCGCGGGTGTGCATGAATTATACGGCACAAACGCTGGAATGCTGGAATCCCAGAATTCTTCCTTTTTGCAAGATGTCCCTTAGTTACTTTCGCATTCTCTTTCCCAATCGCCCCGTGTTAGCTGGATCTCAGGTGAGCTATTCAATCTCACGGAGGGTCACCTTCCTCACCTACGAAACAGGCCAGCTGTACCTCTTGGGACTGTTACGAGGACTACCTAGTTTGGGGAAAGCCAAAGACGTACGTAAAGAGCAGAAAACTACAAGGGTCACAACAAGGACAAAGTGCTTACCCCAGGACGTGCCCTGAGGTGACGGGACCACAAAGTCTAGCACCAGAACCTTCTTTCCCAAGATGGCGGCTTCCTACAAAGAAGAAAGAGAAGCAGCTACAGATAAAGGTCTCGTCATTTTCCTGACAATCCCCCAACCTTTCTCTCCCCGAAAGGAAAAGACTACGTAAGAACAAAGTCTTTTCTTTTTATTAGTGCAGTCAGAGCTCGGACTGGAACATCGAAATTGGCTTTTCTAAAGGAGGGGAAGGAGCGCGTTCGGCCATCGCCAGGAAAATTACCTCCAGGCCTCATTATCGTCATACCTGAGCACACGCCAGGCCACCGGAGCCCCCCCCAATGACAATGAGGTCATAATCGTACGCTGAGTCTTCCTGAAGGAGCTTCTCTAACAATCCGCTCTGATGTGCCTACGGTTTAATCAAAGGAGAGAGTATGGCAAGACCTTTTAAAAAAAATCCCTTTCTTTGTACCCTATGCTTAATCAGCATGGATTCCTTTTCGAAAACTCTTCAAAACAGTCTCTAGTTTATCCAAGTTCGAGTTGTAAATTCAAATGGTATTCAGACAGGGCCCGACTAGACAGAACGTATACATATGTTTTTGTTCACTATCACCCGACATCTAGACGTGTGTCAAATGACCCACAGGTCACGGCTTTATGGCAGGTGAGGTCATTTTCCTGGGTCTAATCATCAAAATATTGTAACCCAGCTCAGTAAAATATAAAATAGCCACGCACCATTTTTCAAAACTCTCTCTCTTCGGTTCACCTGCGGTAGGCTTTATTTCGAAAACTATTCCTCTGCGTTATCAGCAGGCTATGCAGTTCACAGTTTTACCTGGTTTCTCCCGAAGTGGCCTAAATTTTGCAGCTTCGTAGTAACCTTCTATACAACACAAAATTGTGCTTTTGCCATCAGCAGTGGTCATAAAGGCTGGCTCTGGCCAAAAAACACCGTGTGGCACCAGCTTATCCTGGGAAGCACAGTGTGCCAGCAGGGGAGGGGCAGAGAGAGGAGACACAGAATCCGAGGCAGGCTCCAGGCTCCGAGCTGTCAGCACAGAGCCCGATGTGGGGCTTGAACTGTGAGATCATGACCTGAGCCAGTCGGACACCCAACAGACTGAGCCACCCAGGCGCCCCCAGTGGAAGAGCTACTTAACTACAGGACTCAGCGCGGGCCACGTGGCCCCCAGAGGATGGGGGTCCATGGAGGCTTTGGGCACATTCTAAAAAGGACTCCTTTGGCCTCCTCTGACTTTAGCTGCCCTCAGGAAAGTATGTCTCCTGAGCATTGGCCATGCAAGGCAGCTTCTCTCATAGGAAATGGAACTGAGCACTCTTCATCTCCAGATTCACCATCTGACATCTTCTCCGAGTTACGCCCGGCAAGCCCAGCACTCCCAAAGGTGTTTAGGGACCTGTAGTTAAGGCGCACACCACCACGGGAACCGGGGGGTAGCTTCTGTGACTAACGAAGCGGGTTGTTACCAGGTAATGATGCCGACCATACGCTGACAAACACCGCAGGCAATCTATTTTCCCAAGAAGATGTAATTTTAAGTTAAAATCTGAAACAGAAGTATTTTGTCACTGACTACGACCGCTTACATACATACATAAAAACGATAAAGGAACAGGATTTTTAATAAAAGTCAGCACTTCTAAGATAAGGATCTAACTGAAGAAGAAACAGCAATCTTATCTATCACCAGTTTCAAGATTATCTGATAACCATCTTACACACTTTCCCATTTCACAACTTCCAAAAGACAAATGAAGAGACTCCGAAAAGCCATTCTCTCACCTCTTCTGAGTAAATGTGAAAACAAACTTTGAATAGCATTAAAAACACAGAATACTACTATTACCTGGAAAGTTCCATCGCATCCACCCAAATGCACTTTATTCACAAAAATATTGGGCACGGTTCTCTGATTAGTGATCTCTGACAGCATTTCTTGAACACTGGCCCCATCATCTGAAGAATGAAAACTTAGATATGTAAAAACATTGAAAGAGTGCCAAACTTTTGGGAGTTGCAGAGACAAGCACACACCCATGAAACAGAAAAGGTCAGTATTTACATATATTATATATTACATAACTTCACGAAATGATGACAAGGAAACACCCACATATTTTCAAAGGAAACCTTAAAGAATAAGGGCGCATCTACAAATTCACTGAATGCAAACCCTTCTAAATTAGATGTTGATACGTTATTCAACGGCCATGCCAAGACAAGTAGCTAAGAATCCTCCTTAAAGAGCAATTATCAGGATAAATGCTGCTTCAACTGGAATACTAAAAAAAGAAATACTTTCTGTAATTACACGTGAAAAATCTTTATGGCCCGTTGTCCGAAATGTATCCTCTACCCTTAAAAATAAAACAAGGTCACGAGGACTTTCGACTCCCTCGTTCGGTATGCGCTGTAGAAAGTCTCAAAGATTCAAGAACATTCCATTTGTTAAGGAGGCATGGCAAAAAGGAGTTGGTGAATTCTGGTGAAGGCAGAGGCCAAAGTGTTTTCAGTTGGCTAGCCTGGTCCCCCCACCTTTGCAGACCACCTGTGTAAAGTGCTCAATTACTATGAGATGGATGGATGCAGGGATGACAAGAACTCAAATACATGAAGCTGAAAAGTTACTGTGCTTCCCCTCGTGGGTAATACAGTCAGGAAATAAGGGCAGTTTCTTTTCATTTATAACAGCTTAATCTCCTTTGCCAGAAAGTTGGCAGACACTTACGACATGCCTCAAGTGCTTCAAGGTTAGCAGTTTATACATCTTCCTCCTGTCCCTTCCCTCAAATAGGAAAAGCATATAAAAAAAAAAAAATTTACACCCATTTATTTGTCATGTAGCGTTCTGTTTTCTGTATGGTTGAATGTAGACAAAGACAGCTCGCCTAACTCCAAGAGACAAGAGTTAAATTGGATTGAACAAAGCAAATGCAAAGCAGTCGGTCTTGCTGATGTTCATATTACAGACAAAAGTATATACTGCCCATCCTACTTACCAACTTGATCAAGTTCCAAGATATTAAACTGAACTCCCAAAGAAGAAAACAGTTCTTTAACCTGTAACAAAAATTGACCTGGGTTTTACTCTCACGAAGATTCAACAGAGTTATGAAATATGGCATTAAGGGGTTCAGAGGCGACGTCTGGCTCTCTCAATTGCAGCCAACGTTGTATTTTAAGGTCCACTTTTCACCATTCCTTAACACCCTTCATGCCCTCAGCCCTCCAGAGAAAGCCCAGATGTTTTCCTTCCGGGACGGCGACATCGGGAGCTTGGCAGAATCGCTCCCTGGTGAAACACCCACAACTGGTGAAAATTATTAAAGAAACAATCACTTAAAGTCTCTGGGAACTGTCCCAAGGGCACACAGCAAATGACACATTTGGTCAAGAAAATCTGGGAGGTCAGAGTCGGTGTTTCTTGAGCCATGACCTGTACCCTCCCTCCCCTGCCCAAGGTCAGCTAGATAGGAGCTCTACTTCAAGGGTAGACAAGAAAATAAAGCTCCCTGATCCCTGAAATCCCTGTCACCAGAAGGGGCAGGCCACTGGCATGTCTTAGTCTCCTCACCGCTCTGACTGGCAAAGGCTATAATTCCTGGAGTGAGGCTAACCACACTGGGCTCCCTTGCTCTCTTCTTTCACCAGCCCCGGCTCAGAGGTCTGAAAATATCATACAGCAAGGTTTCAGGCTGGGGGAGGTACACCAAGTAGACCTGAGGCTACAGTCCCCGCCCAGAACCCTGCTCAAAAACAAGGCTGTCAAGCCAAAAGAATCAGGTCACTGTCCCACCCCAAGGCTCTGGAGCAAGGTCGCAGAGATTCTCCCCAGGGGAAGAGGTGAACTAAGATCAGAGAGCACCAAAGCTCTATCCAAAAGAAATGACTTTATTTGAAATCGACTGGGGGGGGGGGGGGGGGGGGGGGGGGGGGGGGGGGGGGGGGCGTGTCAAAGCCTAAAGTCACTCTTGAGAACAGTGGAGATTCTGGGGGTAAGCAGAAGGCTGGGAGCTTTATTAGAGTAACAGACCCAACTGCAAGCCAGCAAGTTTACCAGAGAAACCCAGGAAAGAGATCGCTAATAGCCCATCTCGGGTCAGCCTAAGCCACCAACACGCTTCAAAAACGACCCCTCCAAAGGGGCCCGGACTTCACCGGACAAGAGCACGGAACAATCTACCCCCATGGATATGGTCAAATACAATAGAGCAACTAGCCTGCAATAAGGGAAGCCTAATATCCACATATATCAAGAGAGACAGAAAACATACCACAAACTAGGTGACAGGGATTAGGGAGGGCACTCGTGATGAGCACTGGGTAACATATGGAATTGCTGAATCACTATACTGAGTACCTGAAACTAACAAACACCGTATGTTAACCAGAGTTAAAATTAAAATTTCATTAAATAAGAGAAAACCAACAACATAACACAGTCAATTAGAGCCCTGCTCTGTCATTCCAGAGTGACTGTGCATATAGCTACGAGGAGAAGTGACATTTAGAGACTTCATCTTTCAGTACAAATAAATTTCCCTAGAATAATCCTGACAACCTACTATAAAGAAAGAAACAATCAAACAAAAACAGCCAGAGATAAGAGTCAGTATCTGGAGTTACTACAGTCTCCTATCTACAATGTCCAGGTTCCGGCCAAAAAATCTACTAGCCATTCAACAAAACAGAAAAGCACATCTATACATAGGGGAAAAAGCAGGCAAGAGAAACAGCCTCTGAGAAGGCCTAGATGTCATAACGAATAGACAAAGTAGCTATTAAAATATGTTCAAAGAATTAAACAGAATTATCTTTTTAAAAAAATTTTTTTAATGTTTTATTTATTTTAGAGAGAGAGAGATCATGAGTGGGAGACGAGCAGAGAGAGAGAGAGAGGAGAGAGAGAGAGAATCGAAAGGAGGCTCCAGGCTCTGAGCTGTCAGCACAGGGCCCGAAGCGGGACTCGAACTCACAATCTGTGAGATCATGACCTGAGCCAAAGTTAGCCGCTTAACCGACTGAGCCACCCAGGTGCCCCAAAACAGAATTATTCTTCAGGACATGAAGAAAGGCATGATGATCATGTCTCATCTGATAGAAAATATCAATATAGATGGAACTTATTTTTAAAAAACAAATGGACCCGTAACCAGCAGAGAAATTGAATTAGTAATCAAAAATCTCATAAAATATAAGAGTCCAGGGCCGGAGGGCTTTCCCAGGAGAATTCTACCAAACATTTAAGGAGGAGTTAACACCTATTCTTTTGAAGCTTTTCCAAAAAATAGAAATGGAAGGAAAGCCTCCAAATGCATTCTATGAGGCCAGCATTACCTTGATTCCAAAACCAGACAAAGACTCCACTAAAAAGGAGAACTACAGATGAATTCCCTGATGAATCTGGATGCAAAAATCCTCAACAAGATATCAGCCAACCGGATCCAACAATACATTAAAAGAATTATTCACCACAACCAAGTGGGATTTACACCTGGGATGCAGGGCTGCTTTACTACCCACAAATCAATCAATGTGACTCATCACATCAATTAAAAAAAAAAAAGGACAAGAATCACATGATCCTCTCAATAGATGGAGAGAAAGCATTTGACAAAATACAGCATCCTTCCTTAGGAAAAGCCCTCAAGAAAGTAGAAATAGAAGGATCACCTCAAGATCATAAAAGCCATACACGAAAGACCCACCACTAATATCATCCTCAATGGGGAAAAACCGAGAGCTTTCCCCCTAAGATCAGGAACATGTCCGGATGTCCACTCTCACCACTGTTATTCAACAGTGTATTGGAAGTCCTAGCCTTACCAGTCAGACAACACAAAGGAATAAAAGGCATCCAAATCGGCCAGGAGGAAGTCAAACTTTCACTCTTCACAGACGATATAATACTCTCTATATGGAGAATCCAAAAGATTGCACCAACAACTGTTAGAACTGATCTATGCAAATAGCAAAGTCACAGAATATAAAATCAAGGCACAGAAACAGGTTGCATTTCTGCACACCAATAATGAAGCAACAGGTAGACAAATCAAGGAATCAATCTCATTTACCACTGCACCAAAGCCATAAAATACCTAGGAATAAATCTAACTAAAGGAGTGAAAAATCTATATGCTGAAAACTAGAAAGCTTATGAAAGAAACTGAAGAAGACACAAAAAAATGGAAAAATATTCCCTGCTCCTGGAGTAGAAGAATAAACATCGTTAAAATGTTGATACTGCCCAAAGCAATCTACATATTCAATGCAATCCCTATCTAAATAACATCAGCATTCTTCACAGAGCTAGAACAAATAATACTAAAATTTGCATGGAACCAGAAAAGACTCTGAATATCCAAAGCAATCCTGAAAAAGGAAATCAAAGCAGGAGGCATCACAATCTCAGACTTCGAGCTATATTACAAAGCTGTACTCATCAAGACAGTATGGTACTGGCACAAAAACAGACACTCAGGTCAACGGAACAGAACAGAGAACCCAGAAATGGACCCACAAACGTATGGCCAACTAATCTTAGACAAAGCAGGAAAGAATATTCAAGGGGAAAAAGACAGTCTCTTCAGCAAATGGTGCTGGGAAAACTGGACAGCGATATGCAGAAAAATAAACCTGAACCACTTTCTTATACCATACGCAAAACTAAACTCAAAATGGATAAAAGACCTAAACATAAGACAGGAAGCCATGAAAATCCTGGAAGGGAAAGCAGGCAAAAACCTCTTCGACCTTGGCCTCGTCAACTTCTTACTCGACACGTCTCCGGACGCAAGGGAGACAAAAGCAAAGATGAACTATTGGGACCTGATCAAAATAAAAACCTTCTGCACAGCGAAGGAAACAATCAGCAAAACAAAAAGGCAACCAATGGAATGGGAGAAAATATCTGCAAATAACATATCAGATAAAGGGTCAGTATCCAAAATCTATAGCGAACTTAACAAACTCGACACCCAAAAAACAAATAATCCAGTGAGGAAATGGGCAAAAGACATGAACAGACACTTTTCAAAAGAAGACATCCAGATGGCTAACGGACGCTTGCAAAAATGCTCAGATGAGCAAAAATCACTCATCATCAGGGAAATACAAATCAGGACCACAATAAGATACCACCTCACACCTGTCAGAATCAGTAAAATTAACAACATAGGCAACAACAGATGTTGGTGAGGATGCAGGGAAAGAGGATCCCTTTTGCACGGCTGCTGGGAATGCAAACTGGGGCAGCCACTCTGGAAAACAGTATGGAGGTTCCTCAAAAAGTTAAAAATACAACTACCCTATGACCCAGCAATTGCACTACTAGGTACCTATACAAGGGACACAGGAATGTTGTTTCAAAGAGGCACATGCACCCCAGTGTGTACAGCAGCATTACTGACAATGGCCACAGCATGGAAAGTGCCCAAGTGACCATCGACAGATGAATGGATAAAGAAGATGTGGTGGGTACACACACACACACACACACACACACACACACACACACAATGGAGTGTTACTCGGCAATCAAAAGGAATGACATCTTGCCATCTGGAACAACATGGACGGAACTAGAGGGTATTATGCTGAGCGAAATTAGTCAGAGAAAAACAAGTATCATATGACTTCACTCAGATGTGGAATTTAAGATTCAAAACAGATGAGCATAAGGGAAGGGAAGCAAAAATAATATAAAAACAAGGAGGGGAACAAAACATAAGAGATTCTTAAATACAGAGAACAAACTGAGGGTTGCTGGAGGGGGTGTGGGTGGGGGGATGGGCTAAATGGGTAAAGGGCATTAAGGAAGACACTTGGGATGAGCACGGGTGTTATACGTAGGGGACGAGTCACTGGATTCTACTCCTGAGATCATTATCCCACTCTATGCTAACCAACTTAAAAAAATTAAAAAACAAAACAAATGGTTACTATAGAGTCGGAAAGCATAATAACTAAAATGAAAAGTTCACCAGAGCGCTGCCTGGGTCGCTCAGTCAGCTAAAGCATCTGACTTCGGCTCAGGTCATGATCTCGCCGTTTGCGGGTTC